TATAATTTCAATTTACTATTCCAATTTACTTTGGACTCCATTGACAAAATATTAATATTTAAAAAATAACATAGTAACATACTTAACAAAAACAGTACCATGGTCACTAAAAAAATAGTAATATGGTAACAAAAAAATTGCAACATGGTAAAAAAGTAATAACAATTAAGAATTTAATTCTGTCAAAGTGGGCATTAACCTCATAACTAAGATTTAAGAGAACTCATACATTAGTACTAAATTAAAGTGTTATAGATTTCAATTTTGTTGATTTTTTTGTTGCACAAAACAATCAAGTATTCCTTAGTTGTGTTGTTGTGGAAAAAAATCATGTTACTGTACATAAACCGAAAAATGGAGTTCAGAATTTTGATGTCTTGATGTTCATTATTGGTGTTAAGTGTCGTAATTTAACTGTCGATTGTGTGTTATTACTCGTCATTTTGTAAAATTTTAATTTGTGGATCGTATTTTCATTAAAATCATTCGAAAGTTAATGTTACTATAAAAAAAACTATTGTCTTATATTTTGTAAAATTAGATGTGTTACTGAGCACAAAATTTTGATGCTACTGTGAATATTAAAGTTTATGCTACATAATATACATCTCAAGATTTGCAATTGTATGTTAAAATTCTCTATAATAACATTAGTGTCAGTATAGTAACACGACTATACTAAAAACACGACCTTAATTGTAACTTCAATCGTATAGTAACATGAATGTTACTATATATTAACATTCGTGTTATTGAACTCTATTGGCATTGTTCAATCTCCTTATAATATGCATTACTATTGTGAAGAAAATTTTATGATCTAATTTTGACTTAATAGACCAACAATTTATTCGTACATTAAGCTTGTCATGTATAACTATCAGAATGTATAACTTTCATATAAAACTTCTATTAATTATTATAATATTTAATAAATGATTTCCATATATAATTCAATCAAGGGGTTCCATATATATCTCACTGATCTAATGTATGTGACTTTCCATAACTGGACAAAACTAACACTGTTAGGGGTAATTTTAAGATTTAAAAATAATTGAACTTAAGTATCTATATATAAGTTTAAACATAGACTTACCCCTAAATAAGTTTCCTTCCAAGACTCAAGTCATTATAAGTCCATCTTGGAGGACTCACCCTCAATTTTCACTTATCTATACTACTATAAAATGTCAACAAAAGCGAAAAACTTTTGTTTAACCCTAATACCATTATAAAAATGATTAAAGACAACTATATCATTATGTATTTAATCACCCAATATCATTTAATTGTCCAAATAACCCTTCATATACTTTCCTTTCCACACAATATATCTATACTTCAAAAAATAAATATTCAATGTACACTCAATTTATAATTTAGATAATACTAATATATATCTGTCTATATTTGTATCTATATTACTACAAAATTTCAAAATTAAAAAAAAAAAGATATATCTATATTACTATAAATTTCAATATAAAAAACTTTTGAATTCCTAATTTGCTCTTAAAAATGCCAAAAAAAACCAAATTATATACCTTTTAATAACTCTACTAATGATTTTTATTAGCATTTTCTATTTCATAATCACAATAATTAATATTTAAAAGCTTTAGGTTTGGCCGGGGCAACGTGCTTATCTTGTGTGACAACACTACAGAGCTAGTGGCTCTTATTTGCAGGCAATTGTGAGACAACACTACAGAGAATGCGACACTTTCATGTAACATGCTATGGTCTTAACGCTCTTACAAGGTAGTGATGAGTTTCACGTGCTCTAAGCCAGGCCCGCATACAGTTAGGAAGATTGGCTGCAATCTAAGGGGTACTACCCACCCTACCCTACCACCTATAAGCAGTCGTCCATCCTACAGCCACCCGAAAAGGAACTATAGTGATCTTAAATAGGAATCCTACAGCAATAAATAGAATCCCCACAAATTATATACTCTTTAATAACTCTATTAATGGTTTTTATTAGCATTTTCTATATCATAATCATAGTAATTAATATTTAAAAGTTTTAGGTTGTTTTCCTTCTGTTCAGTGAATACATCAGTTCGTCTTTCAAACAAGTTTCGCATATCATCATTGCAAGAAGATTGCACCAACATCTTGACTACCAGATTATTTTGATTGTTGAAATTCTACCATTATGAGAATTGGATAGCCAACAAAAAATTCCTTGGTTGTGGACATGCACTTCACCTCACTTCTATATATAGAATTCCTACTTGTTGGATTAACCTAGCCTAGTTGGGGGAAGTGACGCTAAAAATCATGAGATTTGAACCAATTCTCTTTATGCTTGAAAAGGTGTTGTTCCATACATGGTTTCTTTGTGGCTCTCATTTTCTTTTTATGTTAGAATGAATTTTGGGTTAAATTTCAATTTTTGGGATTTGTTACCCTATTCACATGAAATCTACCATATTCATAAAACTCAATCCTTCATATCAGAAAATGACCAAAAAAAAGAACCCATTCTTTTGTGGAATTGACAAGAGTTCAAGGCCATAGCCCACAAGCTTGTGTTGTTCTTCGGATGCTTGGTGAACAAATTTTTAAATTTCAACTTTTAGCACTTTTGTAATTTTAATAGTAGAAATGTACTAATATTTGTATGCTTAACCTCCATGTATCTGCAAGTATTTGAAGAGTTTTGAAAATTTGGCAAATCATTGTCTGTTGAAAGCATAATGACATGTGGTGTGATAGAGCAAAAAAGACTCAAGCAAAGTAAATAAGCTTTTCCTTGTAGCAAATTGATTTTTTCAATTTCATGAATTTGTTTGTTACTTTTACCAACTCTCTGCTTCGTACAGAAAAGTAGGAAAATTTGGGTTCTAGAGTGATGCTATATTTTTATCATTGAGGATCAAAAAGAATAAAAATATTACTACTGCTGCCATGAAAATGATGAAAATAATAGTACACTTGACCCTTATATATACCCTTAGAGTGGTGGAATATGTGGTTTGCCCTTGACACTTTGGTAGAATAAATTACTAGGAAAAAATGCATGGAATAGTTGCCGTTTTGAATTTTGTTAAAAATTGGATGTTCTAAAAACTCACTTGTGATGAGGGCAATTTTAAGTGTTACTACAAAATTATGTATTACACTGCATTACTTTGTAGAATTTGCAATTTTTTCATTAATACGTGTGTAGTTTCTTATGCTAATGATTGCATTGTGTGCTGATTCGAGATCCTCATATGATTTTTGATATCACCTATGAACGAAAAGTAGTACAATAATAAATCTTGAATTGGGTAACGTTCTGATATGAATTTACCTTGAATAACATTTGAACTAACACTAGCATGTCTCCTGCTTTGATTTGAGTATAATGTCTAATGTGGTCTTCAAGTCCTCAATGATTTTTTTTTTTAATATTAGAGTGCATGCCTCTTTCAAATTCTAGAAAATCACTTAAATTTATGCTTAGAGTGTGATTTTTTATGGTGATGTGGTCAAAGACCACTTTTTTTACCGATCTAAAACTATAAAAATATTATAATATATATAACAACTAACCAGAATATTCTATCCTATGTGATATTCAAAATAGTTCACGTGCGACACACGTATGCTTTAACTAGTAAAATCTAAATTTAAATTTCCTCTAATACACTTTTCTTTTAATTTCTTTCTTGGCACATCATCCATTATTAATGAATGAGGCATCCACTATTGATGAGTGAGAGATCCACTTGCATACAATGACTCGCATAACTTATCTTATTTAATACTAGAGGTAACACGTGTCTAAAGGCACGGTGCAATATGAATGATTTTGACAAAAATTTTGATAGTCATTGGATAAACCTATTTGAGACCGTCGATTAAATTATTTAAGTCTATTCTATTTTATATTATAGTCTGTCACATGGCCCCACCTCCAATACAACATCGACGGAAACAAAACATGATGATTTTTCTTTCATTGAATGTGCATGAATTAAAAATAAAAAGTATATGACTTTTTTTCAGCTTTCTCAAGTTCTCCATTCAAGTGTCTTAGAAGACAATAAAAGTTAGATAAACAACTACCACCAGGAATTTGTTACAAAGACAATTGTTTTATGAAATTGCGCTATCTACCATACTTAAGTGGTTCTTTTCTAGAATGGAACAAACCTCAAGGAAGCAATTGTAATTTAACCTTAAACATTTCAGTAATCAGCAAATAAAGTCGTTTTAGCTAGAAGACAAGTAAAAAAATGGAATAATTTCTCCTTTTTTACTTTGTATTTTTAAATATGAAATTTTTACATTATACCTTTAATCTATTAAACATATTGAAATATAATATTTTTATAACCTTCCCTTGCTTAATTTGTCAAAATATATCCCATTGAATTTGTTATAATAAGTAACATAAACTAATGGAATTACAAAAGGACTAGAGTATAATATATTAAAGATATAATGCGATAAATTTAATTTAAAGGTATAAATTGATTTTTTTTAAATTAAAAGTGCAGTTAAAAATGACAAAGACTTCCCCGCCAACTTGCTGATTCTACAGTGAACAGAAGAGGATCGGAGTGAGTAAAAAACGTGCCCCTCAGAATGACATCACCATCTTTCTCTCTCCCCCCCCCCCCTGTCGTTAAACTCGGTCCTCCAGATAACATCTTCACATACCCACCCTTATACATACGACATATGTACCGTATATGCGTGTGATATTGACTCGTGAAGTTCAGTTTTCAAACTGAGACTAGGGATCCGAGCGGTACTGCTTTATTGGGGTTCTTGAATTGGGAGTTTTTGACGTATTCCTTCCATTATTTGATCTTTTTCCATGATTTATTCAGTAAAGATTTCTTTATTGGGTTCCATGCTAAGTTGGGTACTTGAAATTTCTGTCATTAGAGCTAATTCTCCATTTTTCAATGTAGATTGTAATTCATAGTATTTGTATGTGCTTTGTTTTGTGGAATTTTCCATTTGATTGTGTCTAATAGTAACTTTGTTGTAAAGGTTTCTTTTGCTGAGGTGTTTGTCAATATGGGTATTTAGTCTTCAGCACATTAACTAGCCAAGAGAAATAGGCTGCCATTTGGTTTGATCAACTGCCCATGACAGCCACAGGCTCCTGCATCATATTTGCAGTGGATAATTTTGGTTAGTTGTGAGAGTGTAAAGACTTCCTTTATGCTTTTTTCGAGTTCCCTTACCTTTATATTAATTTTCCGATGCGGGTTGTGAAATTTCAAATTTGATATGTGTGTGAGATTGGGTGTTTAAATGTTGCCTTTTTTTTATATTGATTGTTGAGCTTAATTTCATGTCAATTTGTAGGAAAATATATACTGATATTTTTTCTGTTCTTTACATTAATGAGTATTTTGCAATAGTATGCACTTTGGTTTGATACTTTTAATGATTTTGTATTCATGCTGTTTAATTTTTAGTCCGTTTGATATTTTTCTTTGTTTTATCTTTGATGAACTATCTTATCTTAAACCCAGTTCTCACATTTCTTTCTGTTTTCTTTATGTATATGCACAATTGGAATACTTTTCAGTTTCCCAGTGTATGCTTATTATAAAATTTTGGTCACAGTTGATTCTCAGTCTTGAGAAATTTCTTAAGTTTTTGTTTTAATCTTAACTTGTAATAATTTGCTTATTTAATTTTATGTTCGAGAACCTGCCTCAGCAAATTGCTTCGTGAAAGTTTTGTACTGTTTCTGTATTATTCCTTCTCTGTCTCTCTCTACTGGGTTCTGGTTTCCTCAGTATCTTGAGGGAAGTGGAGCTCTGTTGGGGGAAGTGTGAAAAGGACTGTTGATTAAAATTCTGAATATTCTTTTTAAATTGGTGGGGATCTGGGCAGCTTGCTGGTGGAGGAGTCCCCGTGTAGGAAATACTATCCTCCCTTTTCCCAAACTGGTTGGTGAAAAATTCCAAACCCCCCCCCAAAAAAAAAAAAAACGAAAAAAGAAGTTAAAAAGATATCTTTGGTAAGCTGGAAGGCCTCAAAGAAGCTTTGATATGGACTGCAAAATTGGTCAGCTTGAATGCAATTCTAATCTTCATATCAACTGGTTGAGATCTTGATCCCTTGGTACATAGTGATTTTCTCTTTATGTTGGACCTTGGCTGATATTCTATGTTGGAGGTAGAAATTTTTCGAATTCCTAGGAGCATCTTTTAGTTAGTTGGTTCTTTTTTCTCAAAGAGAGGGGGCAACTTCCAAAATAATTTTCATTTTTTTGGGATATGTTTTTGTTCGGTTGTGAGGTGGTTTGTTTTTAGAGGAATTTCCTCTGTTTAACTATTGCTTTTGCTTTCCTCTTAAGCATATATTTCACCCCTTTTCCTTATGTGTTATCATTATCTTATATATCTAATTTTAATAAAAAATTACAGTCTGTGTATAGTTTATATTATTGTTGTTGGATATAAAATCTGCGTCAAATTGCATGTTTACAACCAATAAGAGGAGGAGTACTCTTTGGGCTTGTGTTTTTTGCTATTTTTTGGGTTATTTGGATTGAAGGAACTCATTGATTTTTGAGGATAAATGTGAGGATGTTGAGGTTCTTTGGGAGTGGCTTCATTTTTGGCCTCTATGTCAAAATAGTTTGAATATTTCTCTTTTTAGTATTACTTTGAGTTGGATAGCTTCATGTGGAATGTAGTTTTGTTTTGTTTTTCTTTCCTTTTGTTTGGTATTTTTGTTTTGATTTGTCTTTGGTTTGGACTACTTGTCCACCATTGACTTTCTTTTGTAATTTTATTTTATCTATTATGGTTAATGATATTATCGTTTCCTATAAAAAAAACAAAAAAACAATATGGAGTTTTTGCTGATACCTCCTGTTTTGTGACTCCTATGTAAGAGGCTTATTTGGAAGCTTTTTAGGATTAATGTACGTTGTTCTTGTTTCTGTATATGCATTTCATCTGAGGCAATCTCTATTGCGGAAGCTTTCTCATGAGTTTGTTTGCTATTACATATGAAATCATGAAGCCTCATGAAGTACCCTTGTGCTATTTTTTTATTATTATCATATATCATGGTGACTGTGATGTTGGATCTCTTCCATGGGATGTCAGGTTGGACTCGAAGTTTTTACCCCTTCTTCTTAGCTGTTTTTGTTCTCTGATACTCTTATCTTCCAATCATCATGCAGTAATCTGAGAAGAAGATTATGGAAGATAAGTGTGAAATTGCCAAAGATGTTACTGAAGTAACCTCTGGTCTTAAGATTTTTTTCTTCAACTTCCATGTTATCTTTAATGTCAAGTCACCGAATCTTTCTTGTTTTCAAAACGAACAGCTAATAGGAAATACCCCAATGGTATACCTCAACAACATTGTGGATGGTTGTGTAGCCCGTATCGCCGCCAAGTTAGAGATGATGGAACCTTGCTCAAGTGTGAAAGACAGGTGCTCATCTTATTTTTTCAGAACTTTGCCTCTGGTATGCTGGTTTGCACATGTGATATATAGCAACTATGGAAAGATGCACTTTAATTCTTTCACTGTGCAAATGAACATGTGCATTTCTAATCACTGATGTGTAGGATTGGGTATAGTATGATAAAAGACGCAGAAGAGAAGGGTCTAATTATGCCTGGAAAGGTTAGTTAAATTCCTTTTATCAGACTTGTACTGGTTCTTATGTACAATGTTTTATTCTCATTACAGTTGCAAGTTGCATATCGCAAATTATTGCATGATAATTCGCCTTTTCCACATACTTGAACAAGGTTTAGCATCATTTCCATTAACATAGTGCAGTGTCATTAATGATCAAATCAGGTTCTCTGTCTCAAGGGGAACCGATATTGATGTTAGAAGGCATTATTCATCTGAATAGTGTGGATTTTGAAGTTTTTTGAACTGAAAGGTGTTTATTCATTTTGAATATGCTTAATCGATGGTGCTGAAGACAGTCCTCATTGAGATTACCAGTGGAAATACCGGCATTGGTCTGGCATTCATTGCAGCAGCTAAGGGCTATAAACTTATAACAGTTATGCCACATACATATAGCCTTGAAAGAAGGATTCTCCTCCGAGCTTTTGGAGCAGAGTTGTATATTACAGATGCTGCCAAAGGCTTTGATGGGGTTATTCAAAAAGCCCAAGAGATACTGGGAAAGACACCCAACGGTTATTTTCTTCGGCAATTTGAGAATCCTGCCAACCCAAAGGTATTCTTCACATATATTACTTGTCGATAGCTTGTAGGAATGCTCTATTCATATTTTGCAGTGTACAGATTCACTATGAAACCACTGGACCAGAAATATGGAAGGGCTCTGAGGGGAGAATTGATGCCCTGGTTGCTGGGATAGGAACAGGGGGTACAGTGACTGGTGCAGGGAAGTACCTCAAGGAGAAAAATCCTAACCTAAAGGTTGGTATTTTTATATATGTTGTCTGCAGGTTTGCGTGTTATGCGCATGTATGACAATATGAGTGTGTGTGTGTGAGAGAGAGAGAGTATGTATCCTTGTATTTTATGTGCTTGGATGCTTTTCTTTTTGTGTACAATCAGGTGTATGGTGTAGAACCAACCGAAAGTGCTATTCTGAATGGAGAAAAACCAGGTAATTACAACTTCATGCACCTCTGCATCAACCCTTATTTAACTTGTCTTCGTGGTTGGTTTTATATAATTTTTTAGTTGTGCAAGAGGGTACCTTTGTACTTAGCACATGTCAAGTCTTTTGGTTCAGTTTTTTTTTTTTTTTTTTTGGGGGGGGGCTTAATGAACATAGAAATTGAGATGTTCACATTTTAAAATATTGAGGGTCACTTGGCAATTTTCTACCAATGGCTTTTTCAGAATGTAAGGGTTTTATGTTTTTGTTTTTCTTGGGGGGTGGTTTTGGTAGCTTCATAATCCATCCTTGGCAGCCTCTGACATTGTTGAAGATTACCACTAAATGATACAACAAAGTGTAACAAAGGAAATTAAGGGCTTTATATGTCTAAATAAAATAACCAAATTGTGTGTATGTTATGTATGCATTGTTAGCATAACAAACTGGTTGATAATAGTGGTGACAAAATTTTGCATGCATATGCTTGGATATCCATTTGCCCCGGAGGCGTTGATCAGAATATCTTATTATAAGATATGTCAAGTTTTTAGTTTTTACCATGACGAGTTACTTTGTTAAAGGTTAATTTTTCCACAATGTTCAACAGTCTGAGCAAGCTGCAGACTAGATTTTTTTTGTACCACCTGTGCTTAACATTTTGAGTGACCACAGGCATGATTTTGTTCTGTGTCTACACATTGTGGCTCCTTAAGGTAGTTACTTAAAAATTAAGATAACCTTATAACTTGGAATACATAATCATCAAATTAGTGTGTGATGATGCATAGCTGAATTTGAGGGGTAGTAGGGTCTTCTATTAGAATTGAGAAGCAGCTAAGTTTCATAGAGTCTGGTATGCTTTTGAGCTCTGGGGTATGGGCTGGTATCTAGGTTTCAGATTTTTCAATTTCTAAAACGCTGATGCAGGAGTATTGATGCATTGCTAAGCTAATACACTTCCCATGTGCCTCTTCTTAGCGCTTGTCTCACATCGTGATAATAGATCCTCCCAAACTAGTATATGAGCTTGATGCGACTCTCACTCATTGTGAATTGATTTTGGGTTGAATTCTTTAACATGGAATCGTAGCCAGTTGGTTCATGCTTAGATTAGGTTCGTCATATAGTTATTGGAATTCACTAAACCCTTGAAAATCAACGATTTGAGTACATCGATCCCAAACGGGATAGGTTCACGATCTGGACACCAAAATACGCAACCCAAATTATCATAACCCTAAATTAATTTACATTGGAACATGTAGCACAATATAAAATACATATTAATTGACTACATGTATATATATTTATAATTATATATTATTTTAGATAATAAAAAATTGAGTACAAATGTAAGATAAATGATAATTGACTTAACGTTTATGGATGTTCTATAATATATAATATTGTATAATAATGAACTATTTAGAAAAGAGTTCCAAAACGACTTCTGATCTAAAATATCATATTAGCTAAGTCTATTCCTATCGTATTGCATACCAAAGAAAGTGTCGTACTGTGTATACATACCAGTATCACGTACTAAAGCGCCCCATAATCCAGGTAATATTAGTTTGTCATTTCTTCCACTCTTCCACCAGCTGGCATTTTGACATCCAACTAAAATGTTTGTCTTCTAATATGAATCTAGATTTTTTCTTATCAATATTTATTTGATAGTAACATTTTTCTTCGAACACAATTCTCTCTTCAAACCCATAATGATTATGTAACATGAATTGAGTTGAATCCAATCTATAATTGCAGTAGACTCAAAAATAGCCCATGAATGAAGCATCCACAATCTCCATAAGTTTGATGGGGGAATATAAATTAGAGTGGTTGAAAGTGTGATTAGAGAAATCAAATGAATGATCATGTGGAAAATAGGAAGATATGAAAATGATTATTTTCTTGAATTATGCAATTGATTATCAGTCTCTTTTTTTATGTTATTAGTTTAACTATCTAGACCCATAAGTGTTATTATGTATTGGCTTGCTATTCAATGAAAAAAACTTGTTTTATTTTTCTTCATGGCATTAGAATGGCGCTTCAAGAGCCGTTACGTAAGAATCTTTGTTTCAATTTTAGTGATTTGGTATTGGTTCTTCCTATATTTATGCTAAGTGCACCTTGTTACTCCGCTGATTATCTAGTATAGCTTTTGTTGAGAAAGCTACTATAATATAATTAGGGTTTACATTTATTGTAATATGTATACCGCACAAAGGGTATACTTGTTTTTTGCTTCTTTGTTCAGTAACTATAAATACAAGATTAATAGTGAGAGATAGGGTAAGACAAAATCTCTGTTTGCCTCTCCCATATTGTGTTAAGCTTGTCTGTTCTCTAAACTTAACTTGGTATCTGAGCAATTAGGTCTAATTTCTTATTAATAACCTTTTCTTTCCTTCTTGTTTTCTTTTCGTTATTATCCTTCTTTTTCCTTTTTTTTCCTCTCCATTTTTACTCTGTCTGTGCGATCACTTATATTGGTTCTACCAGTATATTGGATGGGTTTGCACTGAAATTGTGCATTCTCTAAGTTGTAGTTTCTGTTGGAAATCAATGGAGTAAGTTGTCGGTGATTGTTTGACGGGTTGTACTGTGGTGGTGGTGTCATTTGCTATTCGTGGTCATCGTTGTGGTCGGTGATCGTTTGACTGGGTGTACTGCGGTGGTGGTGTCGTTTGCTGTTCGTGGTTGTTGATATTTGTCATCAACTATATTTGTTGTCACTTGTGTGTGACGTGAGAGTAATTTTGTTGTGGTCGCCATTGCCACCGAAGCGATTGTGGTTGTCGTCGCATGTAGCTGTGGTCGTTGTCGCTTGGTTGTGCCACTGTGGGAGGCACTGTTGAAGGCGAAGTTTCGTTGGAATCCTAACTGTGAAGAAGATGAATACTGCAGGTCGGATCAGATCTTACATGGTTGTGGGCTTAAATTAATTCTAAAGCCCAACAACCCAAGTTCAACCTAGTCTGTTGGCCTGAGTTCAATCCAGCCCAGCCCACTTAGTGTGGTTCATCATGATCCAAACCGATTCAGGTCCGGTTCATCATGGTTCAGGTCCGGTTCAATCCAGTTCAGTGCCGGTTCAGCCAATCTTAGGTTGTTTCAACCAATTTTATGTCGGTTCAAGTCAGTTTTACAGCGTTCACCTCCTATTCAAGCACGAATGAGCCTGATTCATCACAGTTCAAACGCGAGTACATCTGGTTCAGTCCTGTCTAGGCTTGCATCAATCGGTTCACTTTCGGTTGAGCACTGTCCAGGCTTGCATTAGCCAGTTCACTTCCGGTTCAACATTGTCTAGCCTTCCCTCAGCTGGTTCATCTCTGGTTCAACCTACCTTAGGTCGGTTCTGGTCTATTTCGCATGGTTTGGTTCCTGTTCAGCATGTTTTAGATCTATTTTACCTTCTTTAAGTGACTTTGGGCTGGTTCTGAGATTTATTTGGATTCAAATCACACTTGGGTGGCTAGTTGTGAGTTTTGTATCTCTCTTGAACTATATTCTTTCTATCATATGATTATGGAACCCAAGAATGATGATCCGTTTGCCGTTACTTCTTCTTTGCCATCAACTTTGTCTCCTATTGTTCTCCTTAGAGGCCGCATGACGTCTGTTAAGCTTAATGAAATCAATTATACTCTGTGGTCACGATTAGTTCAAGTATTTCTTAAAGGTAAAGGTTTTAAGAAATATTTAGTAGACCCTAAACCTAAGAAAGACACTCCCGGGTATGATTAGTGAGAGCACGCAGATGTTCAGATTATTTCATTATTATTGCATAGTATTGAGGCTAGTATTAGTTCTACTTTACTTTATCTTGACACGGCCAAAGAAATTTGGGATCACTTGGCTATTATGTATTGGGGCACAGGTAATTTTACTCGTGCATATGAGGTATGTCAATAGCATTTTTGTATAGAACAAAGAAATATGAGTCTTGTAGATTATTATTCTCATTTTAAGGGAGTTTGTGAGAAATTGAAGCTCTACCACCCTTTCACTATTGATGCAGCAGTTTGCCAAAAACAAAATGAGGATATGAATGTTGTTTGTTTTTTAATGGGTTTGAAACCTGAATATGAGTTTATTTGCTCTCTGATTTTGGGTAGTTCCAACCTACCATCTCTACTTGAGGTTTTCTCCCTCTTATAGTGTGCTACATTGTCTATGGACCCTTCTAGCATTGATTGCAGCTTACCTTCTGACTGTTCGGCACTTGTTGTTCCCATTAGCTATAGTGATAGCCCTCGAGGTAGGCGTGATAATCATGTTGGTTGTGGGGTTGGGGCAATCGCACCGGAGGCCATACTGGAGGTCATGGTGGTCGACACGATTCCTGTTTGTGTACTCATTGTGGTTGTAGAGGTCACATTATTGATTATTATTGAGATTTATATGGCAAGCCTTCAGGAGTTGCTAATCAATTATGCTATCAGGATGATACTTCCTCCCTACAATGGTCAGCTCCACATAACTCTAGGTCTGTTACTCTTACATGCAAGAAGTATGCTCAGTTCCTATCTCAACAGCAAGTTGTTTCATCCTCCTCAACTATCACTTTTGCCTAGTCAGGTACCGCTTTCACTTGTTTATTGTTCTCCACTTGCAGTCTCTAGATCATAGACTCTAGCTCCTCTAATCACTTGATCGGTTCATTTGGGGTCTGTTCTACTTATCAGTTTGTTAATTCTCCACATAGTGTTACTCTTGATAATGATACTTTCTCTAAAATTTTAGGTTTAGGGATCACCCAATTGAGTACTGATATGTCCTTATCATCCATTTTATTTATTCTCTAGTTGCCCTTTAGCTTATTATCCATTAGCTAGATTACCCGCTCTCTTAATTGTTCAGTAACATTTTACCCTTGATATTGTGTTTTTTAGGATCTCCAGATCAAGAGGAAGATTGGTATGGGGTATGAAGCTGGTGGTCTCTATTATCTTGACTTTGATACACCTCTTCGGGCCATGCAAACCTCGTCATTTCCCTTCTAGTGATACTATCGTCTTAGTCATCCTTCTCTCTAAAATCTAAAGCGTCAAGTTTCTAGTCTTAATCATGGTCATGTGTCGTCTATGTCTTATAAAGTTTGTCAACTTAGTAAGCATCATCGTGTTTCCTTTCAGTCTAGAGTCAATAACCGTATATCTAGTTCATTTGAAGTAGTCCACTCTGATATATATGGTCCAATAAAGAATATTTTGTCTAATAAATTTTCTTATTTTGTGGATGATTATTCTCGTGTGATTTGATTATTTCTTATGAAAGCTCATTTTAAATTATTCTCTATATTTGAGACCTTTCATAAAGAAGTAAAAATCTAATATGGTTATCGTATTCGTGTTCTATGCTCTGATAATGCTAGAGAATATGCATCTAATCCTTTTTCATCTTATTTTCATAAAATTGGTATTATTCATCAGACATTGTGTGTCTATACCTCAATAGAATAATGTTGTTGAGCGTGAGAATTGACATCTGTTAGAAGTTACTCTTGCATTATTATTCCACATGCATGTACCTCATGTTTTTGGAGTGATGCTGTCTTGGGTGTATTTGTTATGTTCATAACTTGGGGCCTGAGTTTGATAAACTTGACCCTCGTACTACCAAGTGTGTCTTTCTTATATACTCTCACACACAAAAGAGGAATCACTTCTATAGATCCACTCTTTGTCGGTACTTCACTAGTGTTACTGTCACTTTTAATGAAGTTATTTCGTATTTCTCGGCTCTTGAGCAGCCTTTGTATCTTGTCTTTGGGTTATTTATTCCACCACCACCCTTTCCCTTATCGTCGTCTACTCCACTGCCTATTGTGTTACCATCTCCTTCTCCATAGGTCCGTGTATACTCTCTCCGTACGCGGC